CTTCTCCTAAGGAGAACCTCCTGTTTGTTCTCAGAGACTTCCGGTTCCTCTCCTAAGGAGAACTTCCTGTTTGTTCTCAGAGACTTCCGGTTCTTCTCCTAAGGAGAACCTCCTGTTTGTTCTCAGAGAGCTCAAAAAAATGCCAAGAGCCTAGAATATGGGGCTGGGGGAAATAAGGCTGTCAAAATCAAGCAGCTTGTCAGAATGACGTTATTACTGAAGACAGATCATCTGAATTTAGAGATTGCTTAGTGCCTGTGCTCTCTAAGATAGGTGAGTACCAAAGGCCACAGACTGTGCTCTCAACATAGCTCATGTTAGCGGGGGAGGGTTGTCACAAACCCTGAGCGAAACTATAAGCAGCAGACTCTCTCAAATGTGGCCTATCTTTGGGGGTTGATGGGATGGGGAGAAGAGGAAGGACTTATTCCTGAATGTGAACAACAGAAACATTTCCTTGGACACCAGATGACACAAGAGCTAAGACTAACGCTGATGATGCTGCGTTCCAGGCTTTCCAGACTTCTCCAAATAGCAGTTGTTTGAACTGTAACAAAGTCTCAAGTATTTGCCCTCCCCACCCCAAAAAAAATAGAGGCACTATTAACTCAACCAGACAGCACACTGAACAGGGGACAAAGGATTCTTGGCCAAGAGCAGTGGAGCAAAACCTCCTCCTACTTGGAAATATCTGAAATATCTGACCTGCATTTGCCTGATTTGTGAAGGAGGCGTGTCCGAAAGGACATGCCACTTTCCCCTAAGACAAGTTTAAGCAATTCAAATCTTTTAAAACTAGAGGAACCAGAACACCATCCAAGACAGCTATTAAGTACTTAACCTTCAAATAGTCCTTGTGTAATAGCCCAACCCATTTTTACTTCATTGCCCTAATTGCCTGATTTATTTGAAGTAGAAAAGAAAAAGTGTTGCACAAGAATTATGGAGGAAGTAGGCAATTGCTTTTGGGTTTTTCTTTGTTTGGAATGGGGTGAACTATAGTTCAGAGAGGAGAATAATAACAGTCAAGGGTTGCACAACAGAACACCATGTTTTAATGTTTAATCAAGGCTGCCAGTAATACATCTTGGTGCCACATAGAATGACACAAAACATCAATAGGCTGTTTTCTTTGTTTTTCATTTGGTATATAAATGTGGCACATTTTGTCCTGAGGGTAATAGAAAGCTAGTCTCCTACAGCATTTCTCATTTCCTGAATTACCTTTCTTTATGGACTTGGCTTAGATGTGGTTGGTGCCACCTACCGGACTAAATACATAATTACAGGCCTCCCAACCCATGTGTAAACATTCTCTAAAAACAGCCTTAGGGGATATGTTCCTTCTTTGGGAGGATATTATAAATAGTTAAGTTTGGATACCCATCATAAATTTTAGGACTGGAAGAGAGGGAAGAAACCAAACTTTAACACTGCCATTGTATTGTTCAGTCCAGAACCCAAGCTTTCACCGCGGACACAGAAGCCTGACTTTTCTGAGTTTACTTCTTGTCCCGAATTGCAGATTTTATTAAGTCATTTGGTTACACATTGTGAGAAGTTTTAAATGCTCCCTGTTACATTTGATAGCTGTAAATATTAGCTACAGAAAATCACATCATTTTTCCATGTTGTGTAAGGGCTACCGACGTGTAGCTGACTCTAGAGCCCATGGCTATTTCCATTAAATTAAGACTTCTCAAAGTTTGGTATTGAAATAATTTTAGGTGACACCTATAATAAATTTAAGATGTGCTATAACATGGCTTTAAATCTTATAAATCACAGTGGAGAAAAAAATTTTTTGAAACAAACTCTCAAGCCAGGGTGACCTTGAACTCCTGTGCCTTATGCTTCTACGTCCTGTATGCTGAAATTATAAACACCTGCTTCTGCCTCTGGCTCAATCATTCCCTTTTCAATGCTTTGAACTTGACACCACCAAGAAGAAAGTTCGAAGTTGGTTCTGTGTTGTTTTCTCTTTTCTTTTTTTAATTCTCTGTCTTGTTGAACGTAATTTCAAATGATAATACAGGCCTCAGGCTTGACCATCTTTCTAGAGTCATTTTGTTGTTGTTTCCCATTATTATTAAATCTACTTGTGAAAACACTATTTTTTTTGTTTGTTTGTTTTGTTTTTTCAGTTAGTAATATGAATTTTGAGGCTGAACATAGTAGCTCATGCCTGTTATACTGGCTCCTAGGAGGCTCAAGTAGAAGATCACTGTAAGTTTGAGGTCAGCATGAGCTGCATAGTAAGTTCCAGGCTACCTTGGGCTGCAGAGAGAGATATTTTTAAAAACACGGGAGCAATGCTTCACTCCTGCCTGTGGCTGTGATAAAATGTAGCGATTGAGCGCTGTAAAACCCTATCACTTTGTTTGCTAGGAAAGGAAATAATGGATCTGCGGGCTGTCCCTGTTCAAACTGATTCAGGGTTCTGTAAGTGAGTGTGGATAGGGGAGGCTCCTGTTGCACTCAAGTTGAATGGAATCACTAATGGGGAGTTGGCTTAAATCTAGAATTTAAAGAATTAGTTCCTTACTCTATAGATCCCTTGAGATGAGCTTTGGCTAATTTTCAATGGCATAAAAATAGAACTCCCTGTTTCCCTCATACTCCTTCTTTTTGTCTTTTTAAATTTGTATATTAATAACTTACTGCCTCTAGGTTCTTTCTTTCTGACTTTCCTGCTGTCCTGTTCTTCTCAAGATATAAGTAGAAAGAAAAATATGTGTGGAACTCTGCCTGAGGACATGTAGTCCATCCAATTTTCTAGACTTTTTCCCAGATTTTATCTGTTGATGAAGATTGAGTGCTGTGTGCCTGGACTGAGTCATAGTAAGTAGCCCCATCCTATTAAAAAATTTTTATAATAATGGTTTATTCACGTATTGTATCAAGGAACAGTTAAGAAACAGCTTAGGGAATTCAGATATTTTGGAAATATCTAAATTGAAGATATTGATTACTGTCATTCCATGGTAAAGTCCTATCCCATTATAAATACCTAGGGGAGAAATCACTCTTAGGTCTCAGTAATATAAGAAGCTATTTGTCCTAATCAGCTGGTTAGTTGTCACTTTGTGAATACTGACAATCCATATTTGCTGGTGAATACCAGAACCAAATTCATAACCTACATCCACTAACTAAATAGCACTTTTGTCATACAGTAACATGCTTTTGACCAAACTTATTTCCCCTTATCTTTGACTTGCTCACCTGTTTAATCATCTGTGTTGTGTGCAATTTTTAATAAGACGTTCAAGCTCTTTATGGACTAAGACTGAGAAGAAATTAGATACATATTTACTGATACTGGTAGAACATTGCCATTTTGGGGTAGGATTGCAATGCCATGCCCCTTTTAAAAAAATACAGACTTTATATTAATGGATTCTTGAAAATTTAAGAATCCTTTCCCTGCCCATCATAACTATTACTTTACTTTTTATGACATACTGTGATTTTCTGTGATACTGTAAAGTCTTTAGGGGAAATCAGTAACGTTCCCAGAAATACATCTGAATTAGTGAACTCTGAGCCCTTGCCAACTGTCTGTCTCCTATGCCTTCAGCTCTGAAATAACAGTCTATTCCAATGTGATTTATGAAATCAATTCTAGTTCTTAGGATAGGGGTAAAGGTGGAAAAGAAACTAAAAAATTTTAATGCCAACTGTTAGCTACGTATACTAAGGATGTGTCATGTTACTTTACAAAGGAAAACTTAAATTTCTTCCACAGAAAATCCTTACTTACTTTAGTACAATAGTTTCCAAAAACTATTAACAATAGTAGTGAAACAACTTATTTATACCATATCTTACTTAACACTTGTGGCAGGCATTGTGATGTTCACTGTTAAGTAATGGGACCTTCAGTGTTAACAAACAAAACAAAACCTCACAATGTGTACCTATGATACTCTACTCACCTTGAGGCCTAAGAAGATTCAAAGCCCCTTGCTTTGGCTCAAAAGTGTGTTGTACAGTGATAATTTCTAGACATTGGCCTTCTGGTAGTTGCTCAAGGCCTCAATTCTCAGCTCAATCACTTTGCCATGAAAGCCATTCTGAAAGAGGACATTTTCCAACACATATAAAATGTATTATTACCTGGGTTTCTTTATACAGATGTTAAAAAATAAAGCCCTCATGTTCTGTCTTTTAGAGTCAGGAAGATGGTATTTTGTTATTTTCCCCCAATTTAAGTAGCACAAAATTAAAAGCATGGTAAGAAGTTTTATTTATTTGTAATTATTGTATATTTTTCTAAATTATTATAAATTTATAGTTTATATAACTTATAATATTATAAATTTATAATTTATTATAATTTATTCCAAATTATTCAACGTAAGTCCCAGATATAGGGGACTTCAGCTATCTTCCACAACTTACTCCATTTAATAGGCAAAAGGGTAGAAGGATTGGCCTTAACAGTATGAGGTTAAAAGCCTTTCTGTTGTGTGAATAAATTATTTCATGACCAGCTATGGAAAGCCTTAGTACCTGAAGGATGTTGTGTTGTTCCTCATACTTGATCAATTCTATTTTCCTTTGTTGCTTTTCCTGGTGGAAGAAAGACCTTCTGGGTGACAAAGTAAATCGAGATAAAAATCAGTTTTTTTCAATAGACCGCAACAACTTTATAGCAAAATTATAGTATAGATTCACTGTTAGATTGGTTTTTATTTCACAGTCTTCTCAATTGAGCTTCTAATATAATGCATTCTTTAAAAGCTAAGAGATGAATGAACAGTTCATTTTCTGTGAATGGTTTGTTTTGGGAAGATGAGATGCAAATGTAATATTTGTAAATAAATTTCCAAGGTAAGTTAATAAGTGCTCTGTGTATATGGAATTGTCATTGCTGGATGGGTTTTCTCGTTTTAGGATAGCTAACATGATTTTGCAGAAATCTGTGATGCTAGTCTGCTTAAGAGCATACTACATCTGTAGCAGATTAATGATTATCAGTTCAAAAAGTCACTACTGCTCGGAATGATTGTACTGCCTTCTGCATGTCTTCCACTTTATTTACATCGGATGTCTCTGGCATGAGCCTTTAAGTGATAAGGGGGATGTCAGAGCCTAAGAGGAAAGATAAGAACTAAAGAAATAGACAATTCCAGGTGGGAAAAATACAGTGTCTTGGCAGACCAGAAATCAAATATACTCTAAAAGTCCAGATTCCCAAATTATCCCTGATCATTAAAGGTCAGTTTTCAACTGTATGGCATCATCTTCTATGACATTCTAAGTCCACTCACCTTTCCATCTTGCAAGTCTTCCATGGGCTTTGTTGGTAATGTTTTCTGTTGATCGTGGAGCTCCTCTGATGCAAATGTCTGTGGAGAGACATTTTGGCAATGCTTTAAATTAGTAGTAATTATGAAGGCAAGGCTTTTGGTTCCTGCCAGTCAGCAACTTCTCAGGGCTCAAAATGGAAATCACATACCTACCACAGGGGATTCAAAATGGTTCTTTAATGTTCATTATAATAATAACTATGAAGTGAATCCATATGATAAATGACTAAAAGCTAAGCTTCTCACCTCATTACTTATTCTCACCACCACATTACAGTTTAATATTAACAGCTCTGGGTATTACTCTTTTTTATTATTTATTGCAATTTATTCACTTTGTATCCGGCTGTAGCCCCCTCCCTCATCTCCTCCCAGTCCCATCCTCCCTCCATCTCTTCCTCCTATGCCCCTTCCCTAGTCCACTGATAGGGGAGGTCCTTCTCCCCTTCTATCTGACCCTAGCCTTTGACCCTAGCCTATCAGGTCTCATCAGGACTGACTGCATTGTCTTCCTCTATGGCCTTCCTCTATGGCTGTACCCCCCAAGGGGAGGTTATCAAAGAGCTGACTACTGAGTTCATGTCAAAGACAGCTCTTGCTCCCCTTACTAGGGAACCTACCAGGAGACTGAACTGCCATGGGCTACATCTGAGCAGGAGTTCTAGGTTTTCTCCATGCATGGTATTAGTCTCTGCAAAAACCATTGGGCCCCGATTTTTTTTTTTTTTTTTTTGGCTCTGTTGGTTTTCTTGTGGAGCTCCTGTCTCCTCCAGGTCTTTCTATCTCTCCTCCTTTCATAAGATCCCTGCACTATGTCCAAAGTTTGGCTATGAGTGTCAGCATCTGCTTGGATACCCTGATCAGTAGTCTTTCAGAGGCCATCTGAGGAATGGATATAGAAATTGTGGTAGATTTACACAATGGAATACTACTCAGCAATTAAAAACAAGGAAATTATGAAATTTGCAGGCAAATGGATGGAACTAGAAAAGATCATCCTGAGTGAGGTAACCAAGAAGCAGAAAGACACACATTTTATATACTCATTTATAGGTGGATATTAGACATATAATATAGGATAAACATACTAAAATCTGTTCACCTAAAGAAGTTAAGTAAGAAGGAGTACCCTAGGGAAGATGCTCAACCCTCGTTCAGAAGGGATTTTTCTTTTCATTGATGAAATTGAGACTTGAAGAGGTTAAACCACTTGTTTATGGTCATACAACTAGGAAAGTACATGGAATATACTAAAATATAATAAAAATGTTAGGTAGGAATATGTTTGTCTCACATATTGAGACAAAAAGTCAGTAAAAATATAATATAATTAAAACTATAAGCTGATACAAACTATATGAAGGAATGAAGTTGTATGAAAGAAAGCAAGGGGAGGCTGTGTTTTCACATTGTATAAATAAGGCTTTTCTGAAGAGGTGACAGACTGAGGCCTGAAGGATGAGAAATCATGAGACAATAACCTTAAAGGCAGGGCGTAAAATAAGAGCAAAGACCTTCAGCTGAGGAAAGACTTGCCGTGTTTCAGAAACTACAAGGAGGCCTTTGGTGTGGTTGAAAGTGAGCAAGGGGAGCTCTCTGTGAGTTCATGTGTGCGTTAGTCCTGCTGTGTCTGAAAGACACTGTTTCACTCAAGTCTTCCACCACCTCTGGCTCTCACAGTTTCTGCATAGATCCCTGATCCTTGAGGATTTGGGAGAAGTTGGGGGAGGGGAAAACATGACCAAAATTTATATGAAAAAAGTAATAAAAATCTATGTCACAAGTTAAAGAAAAAGAAGGAATGAAGGAAAGAAGGAAGGAAAGGCGAGGAGAACTTTTAAGCGAGGAGGCTGGAAGGGCAGGTACAAACCAATTAAGCACAGTAAGGTACGCTGTAAAGGGCTTTCATCAGATGGCTGAGACACTTTTTAAAAAATCACTTTGTTGTGCAAGTGGAGCACCGCTGGAAGCATGACATGAAAAACTGGGGGTGGGGGCAGAGGAATGAGAGGTTCTTGCATTATGTGCAGGACAATACTTCTGAGAGATTCTTAGAGGCACACCTTGTTCCATAGCATCTCCATTTCATTCCGAAGCAGCTTGTTTTTCTTTTCCTGTTAGAAGAGGAAGAACCAAACAAACAGATGTGTTTGTCTGACTGTTAAGTAAGGTTAGAAAAAAAAACAACAACAACTGTATAATTAATGACAGGAAAGGGACTCAAGTACACAGTAAGCCACAGAGGAAGTCAATAAATGGATCTTGCATTTCATACAAAAGCACAGATGATTTTGATGCCGATGATGGTGGTGGTGATGGTGGTTAAAAGGTAATTTCAAACTTTTTATGGTGGTTGTGAGATGTGCTAGTAGAAATAAATTTTTAACTTTTAAGATGTTCTCATATGACAAGTCTCTTGAGAGTTTAGATTAATATCTGTTAATTTTTAAAGATCTTTTACATTATTGACTTCAAAAAGATCTATGACTCTTTCAAAGCAAACTTTTTTCTTTTAATTTGATAGGTATTTCTAATCCTTTAGAAATGATAAAAGTTAATATGCTTATATTCATTAACCACTAGGTGAAACTTTTTTTTTTTTAGTCAAAAAAGTAGAATCTTTGCTGGGTGCTCATGGTGCACACCTTTGATCCCAGCACTCAGGAGGCAGAGACAGGCTGAGCTCTGGTAGTTCGAGGCCAGCCTGGTCTACAAAGTGAGTTCCATGACAGCCAGGGCTACACAGAGAAACCTTGTTTTGAAAAACCAAACCAACCAAACAAACAAACAAAAAGCAAAAATAAAACCAACCAACCAAAAAAACAACCAAAACAAAACAAAACAAAAATAACCAAACCAAAACCAAAAAAACATAGAATCTTACTAGCTTGCCCTTGTTCTTTCCAACATCCAACCTGATTTCTTTACATCACCTTGGATTTCCTAGATCGAAGAGATACAGGTTTGAAGCATCAGATGGGTATTTGTCATTTCCATACATGACAACAGTGGTTCAAGAAGCTATGCCCTGTCGCATCTACTAACAACATCTTACCAGGTTCTGTTTCATCTCTTCTGCTTCCTTAATAAGCTCCATGACTGAAGAGTCATCACATCCCCTCCCTGCCATGATCTGCCTCATGATCTTCAGACTAGAAGGAAAGAGAGAAATCATTAAATATCCATGCTCTTTAAAAGGTAAAATCAATGCCTGCCGTCATCCAGAAAGCCTTCTTCCGTGGAGTGTCAATAGAGGCTGAAATCCCAGGAATTACAGAGGTCCTGAGCAACGAAAGGCTCTGTCACCAGCATGATTCCATTCCTAATTGATGTTAGCTCTAGGTATATGTTCAGTAATGAATTCTGTGCTCTTTAATATTCAAGACTTAGGTCTCAAACAACCAGTGAAAGTACTTTCCACCCTCTGAAAACAATGTTTTAGTGTATGATTTTAGTGTGTGACTTGAGGGAAAGAGAGTTTCTGCCTCTATCTAGAAGAAATTAAAAATCCTGACATCTTTCACATTAATTCCAGAATTATTTCCCATTTCACATCTATCTACTTCCTTCTATCCCAGTGAGTATCAAAATATGAATTAGAATCAGGTCTGACTATGAGATGGATACCACTTAAAGGCACCCGTTGACTTATGTTCACATTGCTGTCCTTTTTCTCCCTGGATCTGAGTAGAATGCTGGGTCTTGCTCCAAGAGAAGTCTATCATGCTGATTTGCAGACAGCTGGTATCTGGTCGTTTCTTGCTAGGCTTTGTTCTCCCCAAGTCTGAGTTCCTCAAGTGCTTAGAATAAGGATATAGAAAGGAGACAGATCAACTGAAGTGATATTTCCTATGACTAGACAGAAAGCAGAGGCGTGGAAGCTTCTAAAAGCAATGACTATTCCATAGCAAAGATCTGAGGTCTCACATGCCTTGGAGCATCTCCCTAATCCAAAGAACTCCCAGGCTCAGGAAAGAGCATCACTCTTATGCCTGGTATGGGAAGGGCAAGTGTTTGTCCTAAAGTAAACTTACCAACATAAAGAAGCAAAAGTCCCAGTGATCTGCACTGACAGGCTATACTATTAAAGGCATTTACCTGTTTCTTAGGTGGGCACCATGGGAAGAGCTTTATCTCATGTAGCTTCATGAGATAAGGACCAAGTCATATTTATTTAAAAATAAAAATAAAAAAGACTCCTGTTTGCCCTGCTTTTATAGTGATAAGTTCTGCATATTCTACTGGAGCTGAATGTCCAAATTTAAAAATAGAAACAAACAAATCAGTGATACTTATTACTAATCCTCTAATGGTTACATTTTTCAACCTTTCTATCTCAAGGATACTTTGTAAGGCCCAGTACCTCCTTTGTTTTTCCTCCAAGTTAGCCATTAGCTTCTGGAATAAGAGAGTGTTCTTATTTTCTAGAGGTTTTAGCATCTCTAGAAGTTCCTGTTTCCTTAACTTCAAGTCCTCATTCAATTCCTTCAAGTAGTTGTCATCTATTTTAGGATTTCTGTAGAAAGACATACAATAATGAGTCTGTAACTTGAGTAAACAAACACCTCTTTCCTCTCCCGGGTAGCTTCCACTTGGCTTCCCCCACCAAAGACTCACTTTTTTGAGAGGAAGCAAGGTCCTGAAGAGTTTGTGCCACTCGTCATCTTGAAGGAAAACTTTTAACAACAAAGAGGCTTTCTTGAAAACATGTGCCTTTCCCCATGCAGTTAAGACATCATCTTTTGCACTGTTGTTCTTGAAGCTCCTGTTGCATTGGATCTACTTTATCTACAGCTTGAGGTCACAATAGCACCATGACAACAAAGTCAGCAGATATTTTAAGTAGCCTAAGTAGCTGCTTGATGACTTAAAATACTTAACTACAAGATCAATCCTTGTCTTAGGTTTAGCCAAATATCCAAAGTTTTACTCTTAAATCTTTGAATGAATAGGACAGACTCATAGCTGGATACCTGCATTATAAAATTACTGTTGGGTAAGAAAATAGTAACTTATCAAAAAGAATTCTTCAACACCATGGTGAAATGCCTGTCTTCCCAAAATGCTGGATTTCTTTGAGTGAGGAAAAGATAAAAAAGATAACAGCACATATTTCTGGAAGCTTGAGAAAGAAAAATATACCTCTAACCAACTTTTAACAATGGACAGAGGTTAAACTGACAAACACTCTGAATGCAATCAAGTAACAAATGAACCATTGTCATTTTTCTCAATCTTTAAAACTCCATCTATCTGCTTGGTGTCGTGAGTCACACCTATAATCCCAGCAATAGGAAGGCAGAGACAAAAAGGATTGAAAGTTCAGGGCAGCCTTGGGCTATGTAGCGAGACTATCTTTCAAAAGTAACCCAAACCAATGCAAAACAAAACCTTTATATGATGTCAAGGGAAAAGAATATTGGGTATGTTTCACACTGTTGTGTCTTCCCCAGCCAGATTCTGTTCTGGAAGGCTGTACTTTCTAGATTCTGACTCTGTAATTCCACCTGCATTAGAACCACTTACCTTCTGGACTCTTAAGATCTCTTATCAATGTCATTTAAGAAGTAAAAGATAGTACAAAGGATTATGTGCTTTTAAGGGTGCTCTTAAAAATGTTTTATGTTTAAGGCATGCCGTTTCAAATACTGACTGACCATTTCCAGCTGTTTTTTGAAGACTTTTCTCCAAAGTAATTTCAGTACTTTATCTTTGGGGAAATTTGAAAGGCAAACTTTTTGCATTGAAAAAAAAATATGAACTCTTATTTGTCGGAACTTGGTTTGGGTATCAGCTTCACTGTGGGCAGTGGGCTGCCTGTGAGCAAGGTACCAAATTCTCTGAGCCTGATGAGGCTTTTATAAAAATGAAACATTGATCCAATAAGCTTGTTGTGAGCATGAGATGTGTCTGCCTCATGTCAGGTGTTCACATCTAGTGGGATTATGTTTGGTTTTGGTTTGTTTAATGCCCCAATTAAGTGACCAGATTTTTTTTTAAGCTGGTGTCTATGAAGACAATTCATAAGAGTCTTTCATTTCCAAGATATCTCCCGAAGAGATCATTTTCTGAATTTAAAACATATGTCCATTTTTTTTTGAAAATAGAGACAACTTCTAAATTATGGCTACCCACTGTCTCACAAAATATGGATCTGCCCTGGTTTAGATAGAATACAAACCTTCCCTAAGTATCGTCTACATCAAAGCTTCTTTTTAGACAATCTTTATACTTTTTCTAAAGTTTTCACGTGTCACATGAAGGTTGTGTGTGACAGAAATATTAAGTTAGAAAAGCCACCATATGTTAATAATACTTCACGTTGTTTGCCCTAGGACTATCCACAAAAAATTTCAATTGAATGAAGGAGAGTAAAATTCTCACTGTTGAAAGGAGGTAGGGGGTAGACTAGTTATTATTAATAGCATCTTAGACTATCTATGTGGCAGGTGGCAGCAAATAGTAAAGGACAAAAATGGCATTGCTCACTGAAGTATAGCCTCTTTAAATTTCATGTTGTGACATTTGGCAGGCAGAACTGTGACAGAATATTAAAACATTTAATGGGCAGGCAGCATCCCCACTCACCTTCCTCTCTGCCCTTGCTTGTGAATGATTCCAAGAGCAAGAACACTTGCTATTCTGATGTAGTTTTTGCCACAGCCAATCAGCCATGTTTATTTCCTAACATTCTAATTTCCATCTCTTCAACCTGGAGTATGAGTTCCAAGGAGTATATTTGCCTTATAATGATGTGTGTGAATATTGTAGCGAAAATCTTTTTAACAAAAGCAATTATCTGAGACAGAAGGCAAGAAGTATCAAGAGGGGTTAGCTGATGCTCTGTTTCAGCATGTAGTGCAGGAAGAAGGGAGGGTTAAGTTTTAGAAGATCAATAACAGTAGAAGAACTTAAAGTATTTTTCCTGAAGTAGAAAGTTAGGTCATCGGCTGATAATGTTTGGTGGGAAAGCCCTGAAGAAGTGATGTCAAAAAATTTGGAATTGCACCTGAGTGGTGGGAAAAGAAAGCCAACCAGCAAGAGTAAAAAATACTGATATGTAGTGTTAAAGGTCAAGGTGGATTTGGAAATTGAAGCTCTGCTATGCTATTAATGAGCAATTATATAGTTTTGTCTATCAGTAGCTGGCATACTGGAAACTACAGTTGAGAAAAACAGGTGACTGATAGATTCTGGGCTAGAACTTGGCAGAATCAGTAAGAAGAGATTCAAGGAAGAAGGGTTTGAGAATGTTGGTGAGGATGTCCATCAAATGGTCTGCCTAAGTCTTCAGGGTATAAAGGATAAAAAATGAGAAGGGGTTGGCTGAGAGAGAATAAACAAGAAAGGAGTTGAGATTGAGGAGCGTGATGTAGAACAGAGGTTTAGTCAATGGATGTACATCTTATGAAATAACTTGGGAAATTTATCCCCAGTTAGATAATCATAGTAGCAATCATAATGTTTTCTGCTATAACTGTATCTTTTGCTTCCTTTCACTGCATAATCACTGAAATTCATGTGGTTCCTCAAAATAGGCCTTACAACAGGTTATTCACAATGACCTCATCCAACGTTATAGCATTTGATTTTAGTATCTGTTAAGAAAAAGCGTGATTGCTCTATAATTAGAGAACTCCGAGCCATTTTAGTGTTAGTTTTGCCAGCGGAAAGTCAAATTAGTCTAATTAAGTCAGGTCTCCAAAAGTAGAGGCAATTATTTTCATATTAATGGGAGAGATGGGGGGGGGGAAGGAAGAGGGAGAGAAGAAAAGAGGGAGGGAATTATTTTTCTGTGTTGTTTGTTATAATCATATAAAAATTTTGGCTCCTTCCCCTTAACACTCTGTGTCTCTGTCTCTGTCTGTCTGTCTCTCTCTCTCTCTCTCTCTCTCTCTCTCTCTCTAATGGTTTACTGGGGCTTTTGTTTGTTCTGAGGCAAGGTCTCACCCTCTATCCTTGGCTGGCTTGGAGCTTGATAAGTAGACTGGACTGACCTTGAACTCAAAGAGATCCACCTATCTTTGCCTCCCAAGTTCTGGAATTAAATGCAGCATCACACACTTATTTTTCTTTTTAACTGTATGTGTATGTGTGGGTATGTGCACATGAGTGTGTGTCCGCAGAGGCCAGAAGAGGGCACTGGATTCCTTGGAGCATGAGTTACAGATGGTGGTTATCTGTCTGACCTGGATATTGGAAACTGAACTTAGGTTCTCTGCAAGAGCACTGGACTATTGAGCACCAAGCTAGCTCTTCAGTGCTCCCAGCCCTTACTTACGTTTTTCTAATTGTTCCAACCTAATCTGTACCAAGATTTAGAGAGAACCCAAGTACTTGAGACAGCTGGGATACATTTCTGCTATTCTTGGAGTTTTTGTTTGATTCTTTGAAAGTAATACTTTGTCTTAATGTCTCCATATTCTTGGTATAATGGTCTTCAAACAAGTGTATGAAATTTTACAAAGACTTTTCGAGAAAAGTATAAGCAAGGGCTGGAAAATGGCTCAGCATGGAGACCTGAGTCAAATCTCGAAACCCATTCAAACATGGCCATGTGTGTACCTGTAACCCCAACACTGTAAGATGTGGAGACACAAGGATGCCTGCTGGTTTCCAGACAACTCCCGTTCATTGAAAGGTCCTGTCTCAAGGGAATAAGACAAAGAGCAATAGAGCAGGACACCAGACATCCTCCCCTGACCTCCTTTCAGGGGAGCTCTTCACACACACAACGCACAGAGAGAGAGAGACAGAGAGAGAGAGAGAGAGAGAGAGAGAGAGGAAGAGAGATAAAACAGAGAAGAAAAGCATAGGGTTTTTTTTCTTGATTTACAATTTCCACAAGAATTCTCCGTTAGCAAGGACTTTCCTAAGAGTGCTTTTTAAGTCTTTTTTCCACCTCCCTCTTCCAAATGCGTTTTGCTCACTTACAGAAAGAATAGAATACATTACAGCCACCTCGAATCTTACTTCAGTGACTTGCTTTGAGGGCGTGCAATATTTTCAACAGCAGTCAAAAATGACAGTGTTGGGGCTAATATGCATGACGGACCACTAATGACCAGGAAGTCTGGTGTTCCAGTTCTTTACTTTCAGCAAAATGAAGGAATACCTAAGATTTCTTAGGTTTATTATAATGAAATTTTGATGATTAATTACTATTTGAAAATTGGCTTGTAATTCAGAGGGAGTTCCAAACATCTGAAAGACACTGCTATAACAAACATCTTCCATCCATCCGCATCTTGCTATTTATATAAACAACACCTGCCCAGTGAGTTACCTGTAGTACAAACAATATGAATTGAATTTATTCTGAAAGCCTAGCTTACTCAAAGAATAAGTATAAATACATGGACTAGTAGGAGGAAAATGATATTAATAGAAATATTTCAAAAATTGTCTGTCTTAGAAACTGTTTTTGAAATGGTTAAAAATTTTGTCACAAACGTGCTATGTCAAATAGATTTGTGTCTTCCTACAATGTCAGATTTTATTGAATAATAATAAATTCATGAGCTACTTCAGTTTCCTTGGCTGCAGTTTACCAAGTGGTCTCAATTTCCCTTGGTTGTTAGTCAAAGAATACACAGTTCCTTGATTCCAATCTTGATTATTATTGTCAACTCTCAGATCATACATTAGATGTTGCCCAGCAAAT